CGCTCAGGAAGAATGGCTCCAGAGCAAACTCATTTATGCAGTAGCCCAATCGATCGCTCACAACTTTAATGCCAACAGCTCACAAAGTAGAATTTTTGTTCACAAGACTCCACAGCTTAGAGGGAACATTGGTCAGGACCAATGTTCCCTCTAAGCTGTGGAGTCTTGTGAGCAAAAATTCTACTTTGTGAGCTATTAGCATGAAAGTTGTGAGCGAGCAATACGACTGTTGCATAAATTAGTTTGCTCTGGAGCCCTCCTTCCTGAGCGGAGACAAAAATGTGTGAGCCGGAGGCTCAAAAACTGTGAGCTGGCTCACACTAACTCAGCTTAGAAGGAACACTGGTCAGGACATATAGTCCTTTACTAAATTTCTCTGCCTGCCATGAAGGTGGCATTTTTTGCTCTCTCCCCGATCTACCTCTGTTTCTTCCTCTTGTGTATGCATCAGAAAATGGAGAACATACAACCTAGAACTTTCTGTATATCATAAGCAGAGAAAGAACGAAAGGATTAATTGAGGGATTCTTTAGTATGTGATATTTTCTCTACATGGGTTTCCTATCCATATGCTGACAGTGAAATAAAACGCTCATGCCACATTTCAGACATAGAAAAGTGTACGATATGGATGTATGGGGCAAATGAGCAGAGCGAGGAGAAATGATGTAAAAGTGCAGGGGGAAATGATGTGAAAGAGTAAGATACGGGTGCAACGGGGAAAAGAACCAAGCAGGCACAAAGCGCACTTCCCAAACACATTTCTGCACCCAGCCTCCAATTCACAAGTGTGGGAAATGAATGCACCTGATCTACAAGTGCATGTGCACACCTACAATAGGTATTTCCACCCAAGTAATTGTTATGGTGCCCAAAACAGGCATGTACAACTTTTCCCCTTGTTGGAGAGATGTGAAGTACCGCCAGAATCAAAGCTCAGACATTGTTCAAATTAGGAGGAAAGTTAAAAACTCAAAACTAATGAGGATGATGACGTGAGAGATCTGAAGGATGGGAGGGAGTGTGTATGAGTGAATGAGAGAGAGAGAGGAGGTTTGCATGCGTATGCTTCTCTGCACAGTCTATAAGATCTGTCTATGTACACACTTTACCTCTCTCCAATACCCAGGGGCTTAGATGCAGCTATCAAATGTGCCTGGATACAGATTTCTGTAGCCCCAGTCTGACAGTACATCCCTATAAAATATGCATGGTGGTGTGTGCAGACCTTGATAGAAAACAGGCAAATGTGTCTCTGTGTGCTGGATGGGCATTCTTGTAGAGGAGGGCACTGATCCATCCCTCGCTTAATCTACCTCCCGTCGGTTGCCTGCTTATTCTTCCCACCTTCCACACATCCTTTCTTTGGGAAGTGGGGGAGGGGAGGGTGGATGGTGGATGTGGGCCAAGCAATCTTTTTTGCAGCATTTAGCAGATGCTGTCCATGCAGGTGATTCAAAAACTGTGGCAGGAGCAGAAACCTCCCCCCCCCATATCACAGAGAGAGAGAAACCACTGCAGCTATACAGCAAACCTTCCTTAAATGCACAGATTGGGGCAGGATGGGGGGGGGGCAGAGTCCCAATCATATTAGAGGAGAGACGGGATTGGTTTCTACTCCCCACCTGCTCCTCCGTTTATAGAATATCCCTGACGTGATGTCCAGCTGAATGCAGCACTATCGCCCCGTCCTTAGTCCTCTGCTCCCCCCCACCCCTTTCTGCTCCCCCCCACTCCTGCTCTCTTCTGCTGTAACTTTTCCTGGCTGCATTCCCAGCCCTGTGGGGGAGGAAAGGAGGGGGGGGTAAAGGGACCTACCAGCCTTGCACTCTTGATACCGGCTGCCTCGCTGCCTGGGGCGGGGGGGGGGGGTGACAGCGTGCAATACGGATTGCAGAATGCCGGCTGTGCACTGCAAACTCTGGGGCTGGCAGACTGCACTGCGGTGCCCCCCCTCCCCCCCTTTAACCCGCTGTCTCTGCAGTTCTAGAAACAACAAAGCACTAATATTGTCCTACAAGTAGGGCCAGAGCAGCGGAGGGGGGGAGAGGAACCAGTCCCCTGGACCCCCCCCCACTTCAGTGGTTTTTCAAGAAGTTCTAAACTGTGTGGAGGGTCTCAGCAGCATAGACCAGGAAGTGCGTGGGGGATGGGGCGTAATAATCAGCCGTGTATGGGAAGGCAAAGTGAGACGGGGGCTCTGAGCTGCAGTGTCGGGGGCTCTGAGGTGGTTTGGAGCAGCATCCTTCAAGGGAAGATCAGCAAGGGATGTGGATAGGTTAGAAGGGGGATCCAGAACTGCATTGCTTGGGGGGGGGGGGGGGGGAGAGAATTTCTGACTTCTCTGCTAGGGGGAAATCTGTGACTTCTCCCTAGATACGTGGTCTGGGATTCAGTGGGGACAAGAAAGGAAGAGCAGTGCGCTTGTGTGCCCTAAAACTGCAGTGGGAAAGGCAGGTTCCAAAATGCAGGAAGGGCAGAAGAAAGAGCTGAGTTTTTTTTAAGAAGGGGGGGGTGGAGAAGTCGGAGAACAGGGGACCTCACTTTCTGGGACAGCCTCAAACTGTGTTGTCAGCACCCCCTGCTGGAGACCAAGGCATTCTCCCTGACACAGAGAAGCAAGTCATAAAGAATGCACATGTGTGCCAGGACCCTCCTGCCGCTACACACTCACTTTTTTGCATATTCGCGTCCCATTGCTCTCAACTCTCAGTCTCAATTTTTTGCATCCCACCGGTGTTCTGACTAAAAGTAGCCCAGGACCTGGGCCAGTGTTCCCTCTAAGCTGAGTTAGTGTGAGCTAGCTCACACTAACTCAGCTTAGAGGGAACATTGACCTGGGCCCTTGCACAACCCCCCTTCCCACACGCTCCACATGCCTCTACCTCTTCTTTCTCACACTCTCTTCACTATCCCCCCAGCTCCTTGCACCACTACATTGCTCCACCACACATAATCATTGGGTTCCACATGTGCAACCCACACAACCCAACAGGAAACATTCAGGTTTTCCATGGCGCTAAACGTCTGGCGCGATTTTGGCCCTGGAATGCATTCCCATGCGCATCCCCTCGGCATGCTCATGGGCACGGCTCCGTCGCTCACACTGCTGCACACCTGTCCGTACCCCTTCCTCTGCAAGTTGGTCTGCATTATCTCCCTACTGCTTATTCTCTGCAGAGCACTTCCAAAGCTCTTCGCACATCCCTTCCTGGCTGGCCCACCTGTGCATGAGATACCACCAGTGTCTCAGTGCTTGAAGCAACCCCCTCCCTTTCAAAATCCCCAGTGTACCCCACTTGATACTCTTATCTTTTCTACTGCATCATCTGCCTTGCCCCCTGGCCATTCATCTTTGCACAGGCTCCAATGCTCACCAGCCCATTGCACACGGACCCTTCTGCATGAACCTCTGTGCACTAATCTGTGTGTGGTGTTCAGTGTTATGCATTTTTTAAAAACCTTGATTATCGTCATTGTGTTCCATTGTTAGAACACCCCGACCCTTAGCCTGCCTTCATTTTTTTTTAACACGTCCCCTCTTTCTCCTTTAGTTAACCCTCCCCCCCAGCCCCTAAGGGTGCAGCTTCAAGGAAACGGGGCAAACACATCTCCAAGGGAAGGGGACAAGATTCACAGCATTGGGAGAGAACCAAGATGAAAACCCCAAGCTGTTTTTAAAGAGCAATTTTTCCTGGTTCCTTTCTGAAATACTTCACTGTAGCCTCAGGTTGGAGAAGTGGTTTCTGCTGAGTTGCAGAGCTCACTCTTTGCATGCAGAAGGTCCCAGGTTCAATCCCGGGCATCTCCAGCCAAAAGGAGGATGTCAGGCAGCAGGTAAGGAGAATGCCCTCCCTGTGGCTGGGACCCTGGACAGCTCCTGCTAGATAGATCTAGTTGCCATCAGTCCCCTACAGAAGTCAAGGTGCCCGTGGGGCTGATCTCACAGCAAACTTGCATTGGACTGTGTGGGTACAACCGAACGTTGGTTTACTTGAAAGTAAACCCTACTGAACTTAATGGTGCTTGCTTCCAAGCCCCCAAAGCGTCTAGGATCTGGCAGGAAGCCACCCTGTTTGTAACTTTGTCCCTCCTCTGCCTTCTCAGTCTCCCGCTCTTGTCAAATGCTAGATTGTAAGCTCCTTGGGGCAGAGCCTTTCCCAACCTTCTCTCTCTCTCCCTCCCTCCCTCCTGTTAAAAAAAGCCAGCACCAACATTGCATAATTAGTACAGTAACGCTAATGCGAAGAACCACACAATTCCAGAGGGGTAGTTTGCGACAGTCCCAACACCACAGAGAGAGTGAGTCTGATGGCGCCTTAAAGGCGAACAAAGCCTTGGTGAGCCAGCGCCCACAATAGCATTAATCTTCATTATGAGTTATTATTACCCAGACCCATAATCAGGAGAAGTGTCTGATTATGAATTATTATTCACAATGGCTGCCGCAAAGAGGACTTTCATTCCCTGTTACTCACTTATTACCCATCAGTAACCACTGCTGGTACTTAAAAAACAAAAACAAAACACAACCCATTCCTGTTATTAAGAGAGTGCAATCCATGGTGGAGTTAAGTCCAAACACAGCAGCTCTGCCTAAGGTTGCACCAAGCCCCAACTCATTAACTTGCTAGCTATTCCATTAACTCTTCCTGCGCCTTATCCCTCTGAACGAGCCACACACCAAAGGGCGATGAACAATGCTCCCTCTAATCTGTGAGCAGAAATTCTACTTTTTGAGCTACCAGCATTAAAGTTGTTTAATTTGGCTACTTCATAAATTAGTTTGCTTTGGAGCCCTCCTTCCTGAGCTAAGACAAAAATGTGTGAGCCGGAGGGGGAAAAAAAGAAAAAAGCTCACACTAAGCGTAGAGGGAATACTGGCGATGAATCCTGAACACTACCGATGCCGTGCACCTCAGGAGCCACGTCGAGGGGTCTCTGCTGCCGCCTCCCTCCCTCCGTCCCTCCCCCCGTCCGTCCGTCCGGCCCCGACTCACCCTGGCCATCTTGGAGGAGTAGGGGTCTTCGAAGAGGGCCCAGACCTTGGGCTGCCAGCCGGACCACCAGCCCAGCTTGCGTCCGTCCTCCTGCAGGCAGAGGCGCTTGAGGTCGCCGCTCTCCTCATCCTCCTGGCTCTCGGGGGTCTCGAAGCTGTCGAGGGCCTCCTCGGCGTCGCGGTGCTGCCGGTAGTTCATCCAGCAGCAGGCCTCCACGTCGGTCTCGTCGATGCCCCAGAAGGCCAGCTCCTCCTCGAAGAGGGGCCCGCAGACGTCGGCCGGGCAGTGGAGCTTGCCCGTGCGGTAGTAGTTGAGGACGTAGGCGAAGACCTGCGGGTGCCGGTCGAAGAAGAACTCGTCGGCCTTGGGGTCGTAGTCGAAGTTGCTGCAGGCGTCGGGCTCGGTGAGCCACGAGAGCCGCGTCCCCGGCAGGGTCTTGAGGGTGCTGCGGTAGGTCTCATGCCTGATCCCCCCGACGTTGATGACTATCTTGTCGTTGTCCTCGTTCCGGCCCATCTCCCCTTTCAAACATGACTTGGACGGCGGCTTGTTCCCAGACTTGCGCCCGCGGAAAGAGGAGACGCACACTGAGCTCAGCATCGGGGGGACGCGCGGGCAGCGCCCGGCTGGCCCGCCCCCGGGGGTGGGGAGGGGCGCCGGACGCTCAAATCAGGCGCCGAGGCGTCATCCCGGCCCCGCCTCCGGCGCCGCCCCCCCAGGCCGGGAGGGGAGGGGAGGAGAGGAGGAGGGGGGGGACGCAGGCTCTCTCTCGCGCGCGCTCTCTCTTGCTAGACGGGGCGGGCGCCGGAGGAAGCAGGCGGGAGTTGGCGGCCGGGAGCCCGCGGCGCAGCGCCCGGCTCTGCAGTGGGGAGAGACACAGAGAGAGACGGGGAAGGTGAGTGCGGGCTGCTGAACACCCCCCCCCCGACCAGCCCCCGGGGGGCCCAGGGGGCCCGGCCCCCCCCCCAGGGACCCCCCCCCCCCCCCCCCCCCCCCCAC